GGGATGAGGTTGGTCAGTAGGAGATGGAGGTGCGGCTTGAGGTGGGAGGAGGGGATAGGTGGGAGGAAGCAAAATCTCCCCTCCCCCTACCGCATCCCAAAACCAGTCCAGCTCGTCCCTGCCTCCCTAACCTGTTCCTCCTCCCACCTCAAGCCGCACCTCCATCTCCTACCGACCAACCTCATCCCGCCCCCTTGACCTGTCTGTCCTCCCTGGACTGACCTATCCCCTTCCTAACTCCCCACCTACACTCACCTTTACTGGCCCCATCCCCGCCTCTTCGACCTGTTTGTTTCTTCTCCACCTATCCTCTCCTCTATCCATCTTCTATCCGCCTCCCACTCTCTCCCTATTTATTTCAGAACCCCCTACCCCTCCCCCTTTTCTGATGAAGGGTCTAGGCCCGAAACGTCAGCCTCTCTGCTCCTATGATGCTGCTTGGCCTGCTGTGTTCATCCAGCCCTGCACCTTGTTGTCTCTAATATTCTGGGGAACCTGGGTTTAAATCCCACCATGGCAGATGGTGGGATTTGAATTTAGTAAAAAATCTGGCATTAAGAGGTAAATGATGGAAAACTGCCTTCCTTTCTTGGTCTGAATGAATAATAATTAAAAAAAAAACAGGTGATCACATAGTACCTAGGCCATAATTTAATTGCTGGTTGTGGAATCCTGCTGCGAATATCCAGCTTTGCCTTCATAAAGAACAGTGCACCTAATGAATTTTGATATCAAATTACTTAAATATATTTACAGAATCTTTAGTATTCATATTTCTGAAAAGATGGTTTTATTTAAAATAACTGACAATGACATCCAATGAATTAAAGAACATATGTGCAATTAATAATTTAAAATAGATTTTTATGAAATACTTTAGAGTTCCTCTGAATAATTGAACTTCTGCTCCCAGTTCGAAAGCAGGTTCAGTGTTGTAATATCAACCAGTTAATAATTTGAAATATGCACAGACAGACAAGAATTTACTTGGGATTTATAATTTCCAGAGTCAATGTAAGTGTAAAAGAAAATTTAAAACCTCAATTCTATAACATGACAACTTGAGTTTAAAATTCCAGTTTGAAACACCTGCTAATGGTGCAGTGTAATTTAAGGAAAACATAATCACAGACGGAATTTCAAAATAATTTTCAGTAAATAACAGCTAAACAAAACAACAGCCAAAATTTCAGAATAAAATCTTATTTTTTCCTACCTTTTCAGTCCATTTTGGATCATGGTTTGAACACATAAGAGACTGGCTAAGCCACAGAGAAGAATTCAATTTCTTGTTCATAACCTATGAGGAGCTGAAGAAGGTAAGAGTTAGGAGTAAATTACTGAAGATGCTGAAATCTGTACTGTAAACAACAAATGCTGGAGATCACAGTGAAAATGAGGGATTTGGGCATCTGCAGCTGCTGTCTGATCCACTATGATCTCCAGCATTTGTTGTTTTCAGTCAAGGTAAGAGTTAGGTTTTTTCATTTATAAACGATAACAAACCATTGCTGTTTTATATTTGAATGATAAATCTTGCAGACCTTACAGCAAATCAGTTCTGTTTTTGGTTTCTCAAAATTGATTATTTCAAATTTCACAGCACATGAAGTCATTCGTATCTGTGCCAGCTCTCTACAAGAACAACTTGGCCAGTTCTACACCCTTTCCCTTTTCTTTCTGAAATACTTATAAATTCTGTGTTATCTTTTAAACTGAGAAGTTAAAATAGTTAGTTTCATGGTTTTTCTATGCTTGCTTTCAATGATCTGATGGTTATCCCATAAGGAGAGTATATCCCCTTTGATCTGAATATTTTATCATCTTTTCAACAGATGCCCATTTGAAAGCCAACAGACTTCACCAGCAGTAACACAATTATTTGAAATAGTTTTGCTTTACCCAACCCTTTTGGGATGACAAATATTGCCACACAAAATATTTATTTATAAAATAAAGTAATAAGGAAACCAAAGCAGCTAGTGGTCTTATTTATAACAAAATATTAGTTAAAGCATAATGAGGAAATATTACATGACACCCTTACCAGAACATAAAACTACAGACCTAGCAGGAAGAAGAGATAACAGTGTGGAGCTGGAGGAACACAGGAGGCCAGGCAGCATCAGATGAGCAGGAAAATTGACATTTTGGGTCAGTACCTGAGAAGGGTCCTGACCCAAAACGTCAACTTTCCTACTTATCTGACGCTGGCTGGCCTACTGTGTTCCTCCAGCTCCACACTGTTCCTCCAGCATCTAGAGTTTTTATTATCTCGGACCTATCAGGAAGTTGCTTTGCTGGTTTTTTTTTTGTTATGGATTACAGCAATGTATGAAACTAACTTGAGGACTTAGTTTCCTACTTTTAGTTTCCTGTTTAGAAAGAATGCATTTTCTAAAAGTATTTGGTTTTTGTCCGTATTTTCTCACAGGATCTTAAACGCTCTGTTGAAAAACTCTGCAATTTTTTGGAACGTTCGCTTTTGCCAGAGGCTGTGGACACAATTGTATGGCATTGCAATTTCACAAACATGAAAGAAAATCAAATGATTAACTACACACTTGTTCCTAATGAAGTTATGGATCATCAAAGAGGCAAATTCATGAGGAAAGGTTAGTTAATATAAAAGGTCTAAAAGGACCTAAAATATGATTATTCCCTTTGCTGTCATTCTGATGGTCCTCTGACTTGTTTTTATTTAGGTAAAGTTGGAGACTGGAAGGAACATTTCACAGAGGAACAGAGGCAACACTTTGAGAAGGTTTTCCAGGAGAAAATGAGGGATTTCGACATTCGGTTTACCTGGAGTTTATAACTCCTATGATCAGGACAGACAATTGTTATTTAAGCAGCTTAATAAGTAAACAAAACACTCATTTATAATTTGTTTGTGTATGTTGAAAAGGCTCCTGTGAACCATTTCAGCTGTTAGGAAAACATATAACAATGCACAGCACTGACAATGCATATAGATTAAGGTGCTTTAATTCAATTTGATTTTCTCTTATATGTTAATGAGAAATAATCAAAAATCAATAGTTAAGGAACCTTTGTGTCATTGAGTTAAAAGTACATTATGCTTCAATGTAAAGTAATGTTTAATCAGTATAAAAATGACTACACTCCTCTAAAAATACCACCACTGGCAAACTACAGGATAGTGCAAATCAGCAACATCTTAGTGAGCCCTAATTCAAGGGCAAACTGAGGCCTAAATTACTGTAGTCAAGTGAATTTAAGTAGCTATCCAGCTTAGTTTTCTTTTACATATGTTTTTACTATATCAAGTACTAATTAACACTTCTATTCATTCTAATTGTTGCCATTGAGTGACTTTGGCAGATATTGGAGTTCACGGGTCATTTAATAGGTAAACACATCAAGTGCTCATCAACAATCATTCTGACAAGCATGACAAATCTTGGATAAGTATATGAATAGGAAACGTTTGAAGGGATATGAGCCAGGAGCAGGCAGTTGGGACTTGTTTAGTTTGGAATTATGTTTGGCACGGACTGGTTGGACCAAGGAGTCTGTTCCCGTGCTATATGACTTTTTGTAAGTATGATTATTTACCTTGCAAACTCCATGCTACTGGTCACAGGTTCTGTGGGTCCTTGTGTGGCTGATCAGCCTAGAGCCACATCTGACCACATATTTAGGTGTTTCCAGGAGGATGTAATTGGTCCTTTTGCCCTGGTTTCACTGGGATTCCTTTTTCAGGGTCCTATTCATTACTTCCTCTTGCCACCAAGTGTTCTCAAAGAAATGTTTCCCTTTGAACAGGAGATTCCTCCAAGTCAGTTCCTTTTAAGTGAGGGTCTCCTATGCAGTGACATCTGTGCTGCATTTCTTGAGGGAAGCCTTTGAAACAATTCCTTTGTCCTCTTTTCGTTTGAGCACCTTCATTGAGCTGAGCAAAGATGTGCTATCAGAGTTGGAACACAGGATCCTAAACCCATGGCTAGCCCAGTAGAGTTGGTTTAGGTTGATTGTGGCTATGTTTTGGAGCCGTATGGAAGACAGAAGGACAACCGCCTTATACACAAAGATCTTGTATTGGTTTTGATGTCACAATAAAGATGCTCATCCTTAGTCATCTGAAGGTGAGGCCTGTGGATTGGATGCAGTATTGAGTCTCTGTATCCCTGTCAGCTTTGGGGGAAGAGCTGGATCCTCAGGTAGGGGAAATATTCCACACTGGAGACAATTTCTCCATTGATCTTAAATGGAGTCATAGAACTGGAACTTGCCCTGAGGTGGGTTTGACCCATATGGTACGTAAAAGATTAAAGATCTAGCTTATTATCTTTAGGCTGAACTAACTTCAGTCTCACTGTTACCTCTACTGGTGAGGAAACAAACCCTGGGATTCCTCTCTAATTCTATGTAGTGGTCTCTGACAGCTTATGAATATTTAGTCTTAAAATCAATACATTTGACACTTGGACTGTTATAGCACAGTGATTGTGTCCCTACCTCTGAACCAGAAGTCCAAAGTTCAAGTCCCTTTTCATGCAGAGTTGTGCCATACAAATGTAGATAGATTGCTTAAAAATACCAGCCTTGCGTTTGACACAATCTGCCCTCACAGAATGGCTACTCAAGTACCGTCAGAAAACTGCTGCAATACCAACTTCAAAATAGGGAGACAGAAGGAATTTTTGGAGAATTGAATTGAAAGGGATTGATAGTGGCTGAAGAGAGTGTTAATTGGAAGAGACAGGCACTAAAAAAAGTGGAGGAATGAGGGGAGATGAATGTTCCTTTAACTACCTTGCATATATACAGGATGTTTAGGATTCAGTTTACATGTTTTTAAAAAAATAAAGCTTTATTTTTAAATGCAAAACAATTTACTTTTTAACAATATAAACAAACTTCCTGAAATAGTGATTTATTGCTGAATGGCTTAGGAGTTTGTGTTGTATTCGTTATATGAATCTGCTTACTGTAAAATTAATCTTTTTATTAAAAAAATCCATCAAGTGCAAGGTGTTGCTGGATTGTTCCAAATTGTATATAGTTTGGAAGTTGAGTGGGTATGAACTAACTTTTTTTTAAAAAAGATGGTTGAATGACAAAAATTAATCGGAATCCCTTTGGATTTAAATTGCAGATTTTGAAAGAACTTGTCACCAAACTTATTGAAATTCATCAACTAAGATCCAGCACTTAAAATTTTACCAAATTTAGATTAAAAAGCCAACATTTCCTCCAAAGACCAAGCTTACATTTTCATCACTAGAAATCGTCAAAAAAAAGTGCATTCTCCATTAACTGGTAACTTAATACAATGATCTCTTACTTGATATGCAAATGCATAAGACAACAATATTAACCAAAAGGTTGATTAATGCCAAGCAATTGTAATTGCAGAGGATATTTGCTGTATTATCTTCCTTTGAATGCAAGTGAGAAAGACCATAATTTATGTTAAATTGTTAAATGCAAGATTAATGACAAGATATTCACAAGGCATCATAGCTTTATTTTCAGATAAATTAATTCTGTTTTATTATCACAAACTAAGAACTTTTCAGATCATCCAAGTCAAAGAAAAAGTGTTTAACTATTATTTATACATATTAACAACCTAAGACAGTTATACACAAAACTATTCAATATGGCATAAGACTAAGCGAACAGCAACAAATGGTCACATTACAAGTGCTACAATTTTCCTAACTACCTGAGTTTTTTTTTTAAAAACCATGACATCTGTCAAGAGATTTGAAATAAACTTTTCTTTGAAGCTTTTCCAGTCACAAGACAGTGATGCTTCTGTACTAAACAGTAACTTCTAGCTTTTAGTTAACAATAATTCTTCTTTGTACACATCAAAATAACACCTTAAACAGGATTTCAAAGCTCAATTTTTAGCTTGTGCAATTGGTTCCTTTATTTGGAAACTGCTGGAATCTTTTCAAAAAGGCAACCTCAAGTTTATTGATTTGAGTTTAATGATTTAAATTTGATGCTGGGCACTCAAACAATGCAAGACCCAGTCAGAAGGGTAATTGTGAAAAACAACTTAGTTTTAACTATCACTTTTAAAAAACAAAGTTAGCTTTTTAGTGGCTGTATGTAGACCTATTAAAAAATTTTAAAAAGTTACTTTTCTATTAAAAATTCTTCCAAATGTCATTCTTGTTCATTTAGTACCAACCTATGAAAATCAATTATTGGAATGATTAGAAATGTCAATTTGAATTAAAATTGTGTGTTGATTTGAGAGTTATCCATTCACTAATGCTATATCATACAGGCTATTCTGAACCACCAAAAAAAGCTGTGTCAGTATTATAGCAAGAGAAGGATTTCAGTTCACCAATGATGGAGAAATGTAAAAGATGGTGAAATTTTAATTCTGATAAACCTTTAAAATCAGGAAAAAAGCAAATTGCAAGGCCTTGTAAATTGTGAAGTTGAACAAATGCAAAGTACTTAAGTGTTTACTTTGAGCTTTTCTTGATTGATCATTCCCAAGGAAACACCTCAGGTGGTTCTATCCAAAGCTACCTAACTACGTTAAATATACTAAATTGAAGAAACAGCATGGCAAATGGTCCAGTGGTTTACAGTTAATAAACAAATCTATTTTTATTATGTAATTTTTTTGAATTTCAACCAATGCTTTGGGGATGAGGTGAGGAAATGAATTCCACAAATTTTCTTTAAAATGCAAACTGTAAGCTTTGTGAAAACTCAAGGAGTTTCTGTCCTTATACTGGATATACATACTGTAGAGCACAATTCTGACATGCACTGGTTCTTTTGCCATGACAGCATAATACCTATGGTAAATAAGAAAATAGAGAAGTGATTTTGATTTGGTCTAATTTAGTCTCAACTAGAAACTCACCAATTATTTGCATGAATATTCATAAACAGCCAAATTTCATTGACCCGAGACTTTTCCCCCATTACAACAGGCTCTATATTATTTTCAGAGCACACCTTAACTAGGAACCAACCTAATCTTAAAAAGTAAGACAAGCAGATTTTTGGCGCTACACAGATCTAACATGGTGTAAAACAGGAACGTATTAAGTTAGCCAATTATAATATCAAAGCAAAAACAAAATGCTTGAGAAACAGTTCTGTTACCTTATATAATGAATTTTATCACTGAGCTGCATCTGAGTAAGACATCAAACCCACCAGACCAAATATGCATATTTTAATTCTAGTTTCTATTACATTAATGGCAACAGTTAGATCAATATCAAAAAGGAAGACTTCCCCATTCCAGCGTACAGCTTCCTGCTCAACCGCCACAAAAGATTTTTATATCTGTACAAGTCTTTTTACAATTTGATTTCATCTTTTCATACTTGTTAGACTACATATTTGACAAAGTGGTTTCACTGCTGAAGGATACCAAATTACACATGGAGGAGATGCTGCTAGGCCTTGCTGCCACATCACCATGCGGTTTCCGAACTTTCGTGATGAGCTTTCTATTTGGAGCTTGTGAAATTGCAGTGTTTCGGATAACAAACCATTCAGACAAGCAGAGATTTTGCCCCATTTCCTGGAACTTTTTTCTGAAACTTCGGTTTAACCAGAAGTACACAATGCAGTTGAAGAAACCATTTCCACATGGTAACCACAGGGCAACGAATTCCAACCACTCTGACGCCCTCTGCTGTGTTAGAGCTGAATTTAAGACAATTAACTGAGCAGTGTTTGCTTGCAGTAAGTGACCAATTCAAGTTATAATACTATCACTAAACCACTACCTGAATATTAAACCAGTGATTTAATTATCTGCAAATCAATTCCAAACAAATCACTTTTTTGAAATACCATTTTAAACCAGTATTTTCCTCATACCCATGTTATCAGATTTAATGTGAAATTTAAACACAGGCTGGAGGACTGAAGAGATAACGATGGTAAATGACAACAGATGAACTTATGAACTAGGATAAGAATTTCAAATTCAATGTGTTGAGAGATGAAAAAAATCACTGTCACTCAGACCAAGGCTGATGGACTCACTGACCATTATACAAATGGTAGAATTTTGGACAGGGTGGTAGGCAATAAAGGAGTGTTACAATAGTCAAGTCTGGAGTTGATGGCACATGTATAGGAGTTTTAAACATTAGAGACAGTCAACCTATTGGAGGAAGTAGCTTTGCAAGTGGATGTGATATGGAGTTGCGAGGTCAGTTCAGGGTAGGCGATGACACCAAACATTGGAGTCAAATGTTACATGGACATAACTTTGAATAATTCACAAACTGATCATTTTTTAAAAATGTTTGGATAAACTGCTTAAACAGTATCTTCTAAACCTGCAACTTCTAGCACCTGGAAGAACAAGGACAGCAGATGTTTCGGAACAACACGTGTTCTGCTAATTCCTCTCTAAGTCAGATATCATCCTGACTTGGGACAATATCACAATTCATTTACTATTGTTGGGTCAAAATCCTGGAACTCCCTCCCTAACAGCACTGTGGGTGTACCTACTCCACACATTGACAGCAGTGGTTCAAGACAGTAGCTTATCAACACATTCTCAATGTTAATTGGGGGAAGGGCACAAACCATGTGTCTAGCCAGTAATGCCTACACTCCATGAACAAATAAACAGATAATCACAAGACTAAAGAGCTTTCATTATTGTAGTAATGCAAGTTAGCAATCGCTAGTGATTAGGAAGCCATTTTCTCCCATGATAGATGCTGGAATTCTAAAAGGTAGATGTCAAAGGAAACAAAAGCATGTATTTATTTTGTGGGTAAATAGGGTTAGCTCTTCAGATGTAAACCTACCTTTTCAACTAAGGACGGAAACAGTTCCCAATTGGACTTTCATACCGAATTACGTAAAGGCTTTTGACTATTTCTTTGGTCTCTGTTGTCCCTCAGCCTACTTTCACACATGCACACTTTAATCTCTCTCTCTCTCTCTCCCACCCCCGTCCTCCTCCAAAACCCCACCATCCAACTTGCCCCTCGCCCCTGCCATAGTGAGAGGTTTTGAAAAACTTCAAACTTTTTGGTGAAGTTAGAAATCCTATACTTAAAGTACTGTTGCAATAAATAGCCTAATTTTGCCACAAATATTTTGTGGGCTGTAGCTTTTTACAAATAATTTGGACAAAACAAAGTGCATTAACCTTTGACTTTCTTAAAAACCATTTTAATGAATGTATACCAGAATTGATTTTAAAGGCCAGAATTATTTTTAATGAAGATCTTACTTTTAAAAAAGGCATTTTCTTGTCACAGCTTGGACAGCTATCAGTAAACAAAATTATACAATATTCTGAAACAAAAACAAATTGTAGGAGAAGCTCAGCTGGTCTGGCAGCGGTTGTACAGAGTCAATGTTTTGGGTGCCCTGATCCTTCACCAGAGCCAGTAGTAGCTGGGAAAAGATGTTGAAGAACTGGGCTAGGTAAAGGAATGAGATGATCAGTGGTAACAGATCCCAGATGGAGAGAAAGACAGTTTGGCGGAAGGAGGAATAATAATGGAAGGAGGAAAAAAACTAATGATGAAAACCGTAAGTAGGTGAAAATGAGTTTTGTGCTGAAAACAGCCCATGTGTTGACAAAGCCTGGGGTATGGAGGGGTTGGAAATAAAGGACATGGAAGGTGGTGTTCACGCCCTAAAATTATTGAACTCTATTTTGGGTCCTGAAGGCTCAAGATTCCAAATGTCTTGCAAAAAACAAGCCATTGTTAAAAATATATACTACAGATTCTTTTAAAGAGAATTTGTGAGGTCAGCTGTGAAACATTTTCCCTAAAGATTGATTTTAGGAAAGTTATTCTAGAGAATGTAGGGAATAACAAACATACAGTTGATTTGCTTCTGATATTACCATGAATGGAGATTGAGAGTTCTTGGATTGAAATCATTGTCAAAATCTTATAAAAGATTGACTGTTCCACATTTTAGCCATAGTCTGTATGGAGATTTTGGACTTATCAAATAGGGATGCTTGAATGGACTGGAAGTGGTAAAGTTAGTAAATTAGATTAGTAAAATTAGGTCACATGGGATTCAGGGCAAGCTTGCCAATAAGATATACAATTGGCTTCATAGCGAGAGACAGTAATAGTGGAGAGTTGCTTTTTGAACTGGAGGCCTGTGACCAGTGTTCCACAGGGATCAGTTCTGGGTCCTTTTTTGTAATTTATACAAATAGTTTTGGATGAGAATATAGAAGGCATGGTTAGTAAGTTTGCAGACAACTACAAAATTGGTGGGACTGTAAACAGTGAAGAAGGTTTTCCAAGATGACAAAAGGGATCTTGGTCAAATGGGTCAATGGGCTGATAAATGGCAGATGGAGTTCAAACTGGATAAGTGCGAGGTATTGCATTTTGGGACAACAAGCAAGAGTAGGGCTTATACAATTGATGTTAGGGCATTGGGTAGTGTTGTAGAACAGAAGGATTTGGGGTGCAGGTACATAATTCTTTGGAGTGTTTGTGCCACATTTAGACAGGGTGGTTAAAAAGGTGGTTTAGCATGCTTGCCTTCATTGCTCAGTTCTTTGAGTGTAGGAGTTGGGAAGTCATATTGAGATTGTACATGACATTGGTGAGGCCTCTTCTGGAATACCATGTCCAGGTCTGGTCACCCAGTTAAAGGAAGGATGTTATCAAGCTGGACAGAGTGTTCAGAAGAGATTTACCAGGATGTTGTCAAGTATCGAAGGTTTGAGTTATAAAAAAAGACTGGATAGGCTGCGACTTTTTTTTTTTACACTGGAGCGTAGGAGGTTGAGGGAACCTAACAGAAGTTTATAAAATAATGAGAGGTATAGATAGAGTCAACGGTAGTTGACTCTTTCTTAGGATGGGGCATTTCAAGACTTGGGGGCACAGTTTTAAAGTGAAAGGAAAGATTTAAGAGAGACGTCAGGCAAGTTTCTTTACAGAGAGGATGGTTTGCGTGTCGAATGAACTTCCTGAAGAAGTGGTGGATGTGGGTACAATTACAATGTTTAAAAAGGCATTTGGAATAGATATTTGAATAAGAAAGGTTTGGCAGGATTTGAGCCAGGAGCAGGCAGGTGGGACTAGTTTAGTTTGCGATAATGTTTGGCATAGACCAAAGGGTGTGTTTCCATGCTGTATGATTTTATGGTGGGATCATACCAGAGAACCCAGTGAATGGTTGGAGTTTCTGACACCTACCTCAAGCTTTTTGTCTTAAAGACATAATGTTTAGGATGGTTGGATACTCAATTTTTTAAAATACAAAAGAAAATAGTAACTAAAATAAAAAAAATAAAGTCAGGGCTAGTTAAAAGAAAGATACCAGGCATTAGTCAATGCTCAAAAGCAGTGAGGGAATTAGTGTTCAACGACCAGGCACAAATCATGACTCAACTTCCAAACAGGCCAAGGATTCCTATTTCAACAGAGGCTGATTTAAAAATCCCCAGAACAGATCCACCAGAAAAAGATGCTTACTCTGGTCTCCAGACCACCCAGGGTCAGAGGGAGGGGAAAAGCAGAGAGGGGCGGGCCATGCCATTTTCTTATTTAAGATGGTGGGAGACCAGGTCATTCAGAAATAACATGTCTAAGAATATCTTCCAGGAAAATTTAAACTCTACTGAAGGAGGTGAAGAGAAAGTGAAGGCAATCACTTACATGAACGCTAGAGGTTAATGTTCCGTTTTGCTTGTCAGACTACTCACCCTGGTATATCATGTTACAAACACAAGGGCACCAGCAGATATAATAGACGATAACCACAGGCACAAGGATTCTGGAGGCGGCGTCGTGTCTCCTATTCGCCTTCGACAGCTTAAAGCGATTCTTCTGACTCCGGGCTACAAACCAGAGACGGAAATTGGCGAAGGTCATGATGAGTGAGCAGGGAAAGAAGATGAATGCTGTCAGCAGGAGGGAATAGGTAACATTGCTGGAGAAATCCAGATTACAGATCAAAGATGCTCTGGAGAAGTAAACTTTGACAATTCCACTTGGGATGGATAAGGGAAATGAGAGGATGGGTGGCAGAAGCCAGACCAGTGCAATGAGAGCTTTGATCCTGCAGTTGGTCATCAATATGCTGTACTTGAGAGGGAAGAACACAGCGATGTAGCGCTCGATGCTGATTGTTGCCAGGGAGTAGATGGAAGAAGTTAGGATGCTGGCGTCTAGAAAGACCACAATGTGACAGAAGGGGGAGTCGGCCTGGTTTCGGAGCTGGGGTACACTACTGCCATATAAATTCAGCGGGATGACTATCAGGGCGAGGGCAGCGTCAGCACCGGTCAGTGAAATAAGAACCAGGCGGCTGTTGTTGGACCAGCCCGAAACTGGCGAGGAGATCACCAGCAACACGGCCGTGTTACCCAGAATGATCAGACCACACAGAACAGCAATGATACACCGTTTCACAGTGTCACTTGCTGCCTCTCCCACCGAGCTGGCTAGGCCAGTACCAGACAGATTGGCTTCTATCACACTCCCATTCTGTGCTGAGAGCTCAGCCCGAGAGAGATTCACCAACATTCTGTTGTAAAGAGACAGTCCGTGGGTAGGTTTCAAAACTACAGCCGCTTAAACCAAAGCCCCTTGGACGGGGAAGACTTTTATTCCAGTTTTTCCTGCAGTCTGATACATTTTTAAAAAGTCATCTTTAGGTCACTCCTAACCCTTAAATGCTGATGACCTTATTGGTTACAAACAGACCATCCTAGTTAGCGGGTGGGATTTTTTTTAACCTAAATTGGGATTTAACACGTGCTGTTTGAGTTGATCGGAAGCAAATGGAGAAACTGTGCACGTTATGGGGTAAGGTTTGAATAATCGTGTGTTCAAACCGTTTGTAAGAAGTGATCTGTTCCCGGGAAAAGTTTCCTTCCACATAATACTGGTCCCGATTGTAGATGTGATCTAATTTGAGCGGATAAAATGTTGTAGCTGTATAAACAGTAATCCGAATTTCTTCCGAAACCTACCCCCTCCCTAAAAACACATTCCTATTTTCCGTAAAAATCTTAACACCAGTGGTAGGATGAACCTTTAATTGGTTAATTTTCACGTTCCTGAACTACACATCTCACAGTCCCCGCCCCAGCTGATTTTTGTTTGTTTATTCTTTTTTCCATTGGTCTCTCTTGCTTGCGTTGTTCATTTTTACCTCGTCTCCTCATTTTTTCCGGTTCGGAAGCTGTAGGGTTAGGCTTTTTTTAAAAAAAAACCTTGTGCACCATTCGCTGAAGGTAAACATGCAGGTGCAGCAGGCGGTAAAGAAGGCCATTCGGCCCTTTGACCCTGCTGTGCAATTCTTCACAATCATGGCTGATGGTCCAACTCAATAACCTGCTTTCTCTCCATAAACTTTGATCCCATTCACCTCAAGTGCTATACCTAGTTGCCTCTCATTCAATATTTTGGCATCAGCTACGTCTTTGGTAATGAATTCCACACGCTCACCACTCTTTGGGTGAAGAAATTTCTCCTCATCTCTGTCATAAATCATCTACCATGAATTGTCATACTGTGACCCCTGGTTCTGGACACACCCACCATCGGGAACATTGTCCCTGCATCTACCCTGTCCAGTCCTGTTAGAATTTTATGAGTCTCTATGCGATCCCCCCTCATTTGTCTGAAATCTAGCGAAAACAATCCCAACCTAGTCAATCTATCCTCCCACGTCAGACCGACCATCCCCGGAATCAGTCTGGTAAACCATTGCTGCACTCCGAGAGCAAGAGCATCCTTCCTCAGAAAAGGAGACCAAAACTGTACACAATATTCTAGGTGTGATCTCACCAAGGCCCTGTATAACTGCAACAACACATCCTCGCTCCTGTACTCGAAATCTCTCGCAATGAAGGCCAACATACCATTTGCCTTCTTTACCGCCTGCTGTACCTGCATGCTTACCTTCAGCAACTGGTGCACAAGGACAGCCAGGTCCCGCTGCACACTGCCCTCTCTCAATTTACAGCCGTTCAGGCAGTAATCTGCCTTCTTGTTTTTGCTTCCAAAGTGAATAACCTCACATTTATCCAAATTGTACTGCATCTGCCATTGATTTGCCCACTCACCCAACCAGTCGAGATCATGCTGAAGGATGTCTGCATCCTCGTCACAGTTCACCCTCCCATCCAACTTGGTATCATCTGCAAACTTGGAGATGTTACATTTTGTTCCCTCATCCAAATCATCACTATATATAGTGAATAGCTGGGGTCCCAGCACCGATCCCTGTAGCCCCCCACTAGTTACTGCCTGCCAATTTGACAAGGACCCATTAACTCCTACTCTTTGTTCCCTCTCTGCCAACCAGTTTCCTACCCATCGCGATACATTTCCCCAATCCCATGTGCTTTAATCTTGCACATTCATCTCTTATACAGGACATTGTCCAAAGATTCTACATCGACTGGCTCCCCCTTGTCAATTCTACTGGTTACATCTTCATCTCTGGCAACATTCTTGTAAATCACCTCTATACTTTCTGTAGAACAACTATGTCCCTTCTGTAATGTGATGATCAGAGCTTTGTAACCAAAACTCCAGCTTAATGTGGGTCTTATATCCAGTATTACGTGCCTGTTTCTGTATTCAGTACCTTTGCCTAATGAAGGAAAGCGTGCCACATGTCTTCTTTACCATCTTTTGGAATGTCCTGCCACCTTTCAGGAATCTGTGAACATGCATTCCAAGATATCTTTCTATCTCTTCCACTGTCAGTAATCTCCCGTTTGTATGTATTTCCTTGCTTTGTTTGCATTTCGGAAATGCATAACCTTGCACTTCTCCAGATTGAATTCCATCTTCCACTTTTCCAATCACTCAACCAAAGCAGTATTATCATCACTGCATCAACAGCCATCTCTTCACAATAGATTACTCAGCCAATTATTGACACCTGTAGATTTCCCGATCATTCATTCTCCCTTCACTGTCATGTGTTACCATGTGTTCTATTGTGGATCATCACAACACATTGAAGCCAGGATTTCCATGGTTCCTGCCGTGGGTCCATAATAATCACTGGATGGGTAAAGTGGGCTTTGCATTCAGTTTTCATTTTGTATGAAATGTTTTCGTATCGAGTTAACAGCAAACACAATCCCAATTCCTGGAAGTTAGAGAAATAGAGTGATAAGTCCCATCAAGACTTTACATCAGGTCTTTAGTTCCATTAATTGACAAAACAGTAACCTGATAACATGAGGCACAAGCGCAAACACTTTGATAAAAACTTTAAATGGCAAAAACAATAAATGGGATACCCAGAGAAAACTTTTCAAAACAAGCACCTTTGTAGTGCTACTGATTACTGCCTTGACACAAACTGTTATGGGGAATGTAGGGGTTCAGCAAGGCTATGGAGGGATTTGAAATCATTGATCAAAATTCTAACATTGAAGAATTGCTTTTTTAGAAACATAAGGGAGCAGAATGAGCTGAACCAGGCTTGAGTTGTGACATAAGCAGAAGAGTTTTGATTGATGTAAACTTTTACTGCAGCCAGATCTATTCACCAGGATATGTTTGAAAAGTCAGGTCTGGAGGTAACAAGAGCACAGATGTGGGTTTCAGATGCAGGTGGACTGGGGCAAAGAAGGGTGGAATCAGATAAAGTTTCAGAAACTGGTGGTCTTATTGGTGTGGGTCTGTGTTTGGAACCTCTGTTTTTGTAGCTGTGGCTCATGGTGCCCGCCTACTAAGCTGGCAATGCTGGATCTGAGCTGTAAGTCATTTTTTAACTTTATGCTTTTCAGCCTGCCTGAAGTTAAAGTAACTTAAATATCTTAAATGTTCCCTCTGTGCAGCAGCAGTTATGCCAGTCGATGGCACACAGCTTAGAGGGGGGTTACAAATTATGTTGATATTACTGAATCTTTGAGGAAGTCCCAGATATTAGCTGTCACTCCTTCGAGATTTGAAACTGTTCTGCCAACAAGTCCATATGACATCATTATGGTGGGTGATATTTATGGCATCTTTCAGCATTAACCCTTTCAGGCCCATATACAAAAGCTTTGGCTGAAAGTTGACAATAGGTGGCAATTTCTTACCTCTTACTGAAACCAAACTGTCTGGTTATATTCTCTGGCATCTGCCCTGTTCAAGCTCCTCCAGTGTTGCCCATATCATCAAGTCACAGCTTGTCTGTTTCCTCACCTGGTTTCACTTCCCTGACTTCCTTTCAGGTCCTCAATTTCCACTGAGTTCTCCCGAAAGTCCATTCCAATTGTCTTTAACAATTCAGTTTCTGCACTGAGCAACTTCTCATCCTCAACGATGTTTATGTAGATGCTGGGAACAGCATTTTCAGGTGCATTCTGGGAATTATCCCAGTTGGAACACAGTGAGGTAGTAAAGTTATATGTTCAGTTGTATTTGCATTATGCAAGAGGCAATTTATTTCAAATAAATTACAATGTTTGAAAAGGCATCTGGATAAGTATGTGAATAGGAAGGGTTTAGAGGGATATGAGCCAAATGCTGCAAATAGGACCAGGTCAAATTAAGATGTCTGATCGGCACAATGAGTTGGACCAAAGGATCTGTTTCTGTGCTCTATGACTCCACGACTCTGAAAGTGTATTTGAATTAATTTGGGAATAAACTTTACACCCAAGTGCAGACAGCAGGTGGCAGTATAGGACCATACACTGCTGAGATCTTTTAGGTTACTGCTCACAAAATTCAAACTAATGCTCAGTTCAAACCATGAAAGCCTGGACATTAGTTTTCCAGCAGATCTGGAATCAGATATGTGTTCAGAGATTTTCCCTGCTTGCTCCTGTCTTCCTTTTCCTATACTTAATGGTAAGGCCCTGGGGAGTGTTGTTGAACAAAGAGACCTTGAAGTGCAGGTTCATTGTTCCTTGAAAGTGGATTCACAGATAGACATGATAGTGAAGAAGGCATTTGGTATTCTTGCCTTTATTGGTCAGTGCATTGAGTATATGAATTGGGAGATGATGTTGCAGCTGTACAGAACATTGGTTAGACCACTTGGAATACTGCGTAAAATTCTGGTCTCCCTGCTGTAGGAGTGATGTTGTGAACTCAAAAAAGTTTAGAAAAGATTTACAAGAATGTTGCCACGGTTGGAGGGTTTGAGCTATAGGGAGAGGCTAAAAAGACTGGGGCTATTTTCCCTGGAGTGTCAGAGGCTGAGGGGTGACCTTTATAGAGGTTTATAAATCATGCGGGGCATGGATAGGATGAATAACCAATGACTTTTCCCTGGTGTGGGGGAGTCCAAAACTAGTGGACATAGGTTTAAGGTGGTAAGGGAAAGATTTAAAAGGGACCTAAGGGGCAACTTTTTCACGCAGAAGGTTGTGTATGTATGGAATGAGCTGCCAGAGGAAGTGGTGGGGGCTGGTACAGTTACAACATTTAAAAGGCATCTAGGTGGGAAGGGTTAGAGGGATATGGGCTAAAAGCTGGCAAATGGGACTAGATTTATTTAGGGTATCTGGTTGGCATGGACTGAAGGGTCTGTTTCCAGCTCCATGACTCTATGACTATCTTTGTGTCATCTGCAAACTTAGCAACAAGGTCCTCAGTTCCTTCGTCCATATTGTAAATGTATAATGTGCTTAGTTGTGATTCCAACACTGATCCCTAAAGAACTCCATGAGTCACTGGCTGCCATCCTGAAAATAAAACCCATTTATCCCCACTCTCTGCCTTCAGCCAGTCAGAAAATCTTCTATACACATCAGTACCTTGATTTGATTTTGATGTTATTGTCACATGTATTTTACAGTAAGAATACAATAATACACAGTGAAAAGCTTTCATTTGCTGCCACAAAATAGCACCGTTTTGAATAGTTTAGGAATATGGAAAAAATAGACATAGCTTGAAGTGAGTCTATCAGTCCTGAGCCAGCTCATCACCACCAACGACACCTGCCCTGCCATTTCTTCGCTGCCATCTACACTGGACCCAACCAACATTGATCCTTGGGTACCATCTTTGCAGCTGGGCTGATACTCCTCTGCCATCCCCTCACTGCTGCCTGTGCCAGACAAACTAATGTCAAAGTCTCATTTCTCACCACTGGGCCCACCTCATCAATGTTGCTGTGATGCCCTTCCAACATCGCTTCACTGCTGCCAGCGGTGGACCCAACCAACAATGAAGTCGCCGATCTTCAGGTGCCATCCAAGCTCAGGACGAGGTAAGGAAAAAAGAAAAAGGAGGGGCTGAAAAAAGAAAAGTGGAAGTAGCAGATGAGCTCTGGCACAGGAGCTCTACTGTGCTGCCATCTTAGATTGGAACACCTTGTGCCTAACACTGTGGGCAGTTTTCTTATTTAGCAGCCTCCTATGCAGCACTTTGTCAAAGGCCTTTTGGAAATCCAAATAGATCATGTCCACTGGCTCTCCTTTATCTAACTTTCTTGATACCGCTTCAAAGAATTCTCAGGCGTGACCTTCCCTTAATGAAGCCGTGCTGATTCAGCTCTATTTTACCATTCACTTATAAGTACTCAGCAATCTCATCCTTTTTAATGGACTCTAAAATCATACCAACGAACGAGGTCAGGA